GTGGCATTGGTACACTTGGAAGGCGCAACAATTCCTTTCACCTCTTTTTCAAAAGCGTCTTTATGCGTTAGAAGACATGATGAATGAGTATAAAGTTGTGAATTAAAGACAGATGTTACAAACAATTTTTTTCTTTGAAAAAGATTTACATGTAATATCATGTCAAAAATTTAGAAAAGTGGATGGTTCTTAGAATCATTACTCCTAAGAACTTGAATATGAAAAAGAGTTCGAAAATATTATGATATTTCAATGAAAAAACAAACACATGTATAGACAAATCACATTTACAATTGTAGTAAAAGTTTGCATAATTTCTGAAATGAGCATGTACTCCTCGAACATGTATATAAAGCTATCATAGTTTAAATATTCTTAAATTTCTAAATAAATTATGGAGATTATTGAAAATGTATTCAATGTTTTTTGAAATCTCAGATTTCTTAACACCATGAATATAGCGAATATTAACACAGCGAGTTATTTCTCCCCCATACTGTATTTGCTTTTCATACTTTGCTAGGAGTGTAAATCTCGATTATAATTTGAAAACTTACCAATAACCATAAACATTCGATCTAAAAAAAAATTGCACAAATCATATCACATATTCTATATTCAAATCCAACATGATGTATGTTTTAATATATTCATCAAATTGTGAAAGTATCTAAGACATGTTTACGAAACTTCCGTCTTATCCCAAGGCTTTTAATACAGAGTATTTTCTAAGTTTTCTTTTAAAAATACAATAATTACTGCATTAATTTACTTTGGTCCTTGCTCTTTGTATGATCAATCTTTAACCCAAGCAGGCAACTGACAAAAAAGTTAATGTTACAAGGATTTCAATAACCTCTTTAAAAGTCAACATTTCGTCAATTCTATCAGTATTCGATTAGTTTTAGAAAAGTTAACACCAAATGCAGGTGATAGCTGCAAATTATCACATTTATACGGAAACTTGAAGATGGACAGCCTGGATTCATCTCGTTTATCAAAAAAATTATTTTTTAAAGTTTTATCAAAGTTGTGTAACTTATTAATACCATTCTACATAATGATTTAAGAACAAACGAGACGTTCCTCAATGATACATAATTTTTTTTCATTGAAATTTTTTTCTCATTGAAAAATTATTACTTTTACATGTGTACTCACCAAAATTTGAGATTCCATATTAGGCATTTGTTCGAGAAACAATAAGATTGCATTTCTCATATAATCCTTTAAGGAAAAAAACTTTTAGTGTTTCGATTTTTTATAACCAATTAGAAATCAGTTTAGCAATTCGATATTTGGGGGAGATATTATCTGACCTTACAATGTGACATCCGGAATTTTTTTATTTAGGGTTTTTTTACATGTAAGTAATTGATGACCCAGACCTTTTCAAAAATATTTCTTCTAATGTCGATTTACAGAACATCAAAACACTTAACCAGTCCAGTGATTCATTTGAGATTAATATTTTCACGCACGGGACATAATAAAAACCTTAATGACACCCCATCAAAACAATCATATATTCCATATAGTGTACATTCATTAAAACGGTTCTACTCGGAATTATGTTACCGTATTTTACATTGTATTTCAAATCAACTGAATAGTATTTGCAGCAAAATAAAATTTATTAATATTATTCGTTTAAGCATATTGAAATGCATCCAAAACCAGTCTGATTTATTTCTTTTGTTGGTTATAATTAGTTGTTGAAATCCCCTATGTGAAATAGAAACTATAATACTTTACTCTGTCCCTATGAAACTTTTAAATAGTCTTCTTGAAAAGGCCAAGGAACATCCAATTTTAGATTCCTCGTCACCTGAATATAGGCTCGATTCTGTGATTATGGATATTGCATATCATAGGCTTTTTAAACCCGTACGTTTCACGGAAGAAAATGCAGCTAAAACAATCCGTCTTTTCCTTAAACTTCAATATGCCAATAAAGGAATGGATGCGGTTAATATAAGCAATATTCTTAATCCAGAAAGGTCCAGTCTTGTATTCCACAATATTTCAAGTTAAAGACTACACCTTGTATTTCCTACAAATATACATCGACCATTGCTTCCAATCTTTTCAATTACAAAAACACTTTACATGGCCTGGATATCGACTATATGAAAAATAATCCCCCTTCGTGTTCATGTTCTTCTTCGCCCTATAACTATAGTCCTGCTGGACACGTTATTACAGGTGACGTAAAAATAGTTCGCAATGAGGACCTTAGATCACTTATTTTAAAAGGTCCTAAATACAGGGAACCCCGATCCTTCAATTGGCGTCGGAATTTCATAAATATTATGGATTCTGTTGAAAATTACGCCAGACGATGGGCCAGATATGAAAAAGAAGACATTGACACCTTGTCAGAATGGATTAAATGTATCAGATCCATGTTAAAGTCACGTATTAAAAGATTGAGGGGCAAAATGAAAACCATCTAGCCTTCTGTGTTCAATAAACCAGAAGTGAAAAAAGAATTAGATAGATTACACGATCAGTACGTACTGGTTCCTGCCGACAAAGCAGGTAACAACATTGTCTTCGTTTGAAAGGCTCATTATATAAATTGCATTCTAGAAGAACTTGGATTTAATTCTACAAGTGGTAATCCTACTTATACTCATACTTCTCTTTCTCAGGAAGAAATTCTTCAAAATCACCTGTCAGTTTTGAATACTTTTAATATTCCACAGAGCCAAAATGAATTTGAACTACCTTATATATATTGGATTCCGAAACTTCATAAGAATCCTTACAAACAAAGATACATTGCAGGTTCCAGTAAATGTTTAACCAAGCCTCTTTCGTTACTTCTCACTAAAATATTGACAATAATGAAGGAAAAACTTCAAGAGTACTGTACAACTATATATTCAAGAAGTGGTGTAAATCAGATGTGGATACTAAAAAATTCTAAAGAACTTTTGGACAATTTGAAATCACAAGACTTTACAAAAATCAACAGCTTAAAAACTTACGACTTTTCAACTTTATACACAACAATTCCCCACGACAAATTAAAATCCAGGCTTTTTGATATCATTGACAGCTGCTTTTTCAACAAATGGAACTCGTAAATTTACTTACCTCGTCATTGGTCATTTGAAAAATTATTTTGTTAAAACAGATTCTGATTGCACACATAAGTACTCTGAAGTTGACATCAAGAAGATGCTTGAGTTTCTGATTGACAATATCTATGTGGTTTTTGGAGACCAGGTATTCCAACAATCTATTGGAATTCCCATGGGTACAAATTGCGCTCCGTTATTAGCAGACTTATTTTTATATTCATATGAAGCAGAATTTATGCAAAATCTTATGCATGAAAAGAAGAAAACACTTGCTGTGGCCTTCAACTCGACATTTGACCGGTCACGGTAGCCTAGTGGTAGAGCGTTCGCTTTGTGATCGGGAGGCCCGGGTTCGATTCTCGTTCGCGGCGCCGCGTCATACCTAAGACGTAAACAAAGGTAATGACTGTTCCTTCGCCAAGCGCTCGGCACTAGAAGTGAAAGTCACGGGTCTTTCGGATATGACCTTAAAAACGTAGGTCCCGTGTCACGGTAGGCGCTGGCACGATAAAGAACCCTCACTGCTCAATGGCCCTGAGTGCCGAGTATAGGTCTAAATTTGAAGCCCTTCACCGGCATACGGTGACGTCTCCATATGAGTGAAAAATTCTCAAGAGGGACGTTAAACAATATACAATCAATCAATCAATCAACTCGACATTTAGATATATCGACGACGTATTGTCAATTAATAATGATAATTTCCATTCCTACGTCGACACGATATATCCTGGTGAACTTGAGATTAAAGATACCACAGAGTCCGACACTTTTGCTTCATACTTGGATATTTTACTTGAAAAAGACACTAATGGTAATTTAACAACCAAGCTATATGATAAACGTTATGACTTTAACTTTTCTATCGTCAACTTCCCTTACTTATGCAGCAATATACCTTCATCACCTGCATACGGAGTTTATATATCTCAGTTGATTCGATACGCAAGAGCATGCTCTACGTATGAACAATTTCTTAAACGAGGTAAATTATTGACAAGCAAGTTGATGAAACAAGAATATCAACAGTCTCGTTTAAAGTCATCATTTCCTAAATTCTATGGTCGATACAATGACCTTGTCAGCAAATACAATTTATCATTGAATGAAATGCTGACTGACGTTTTTCATACAAATTGTTAGTCCATTATTTATACACTGAATCGACGACGCATTTTTTTCCGTTATTTCCTGATTATGACAACGAGCACACGGCGGGTGTGACCGGTCGGCAGGGGATGCTCACTCCTCCATGGCACCTGATCCCACCTCTGATGTTTCGGAGATCCGTGTTTGCTCTGCTCTTATTTTGTATATTGTTTAATGGACGTTGAGATTGAATACTGTTCGTAATTTCCATATCCTTCTACTGAAGGACAAAACACGTGCTCCAGGGCTACACATTTAAACCTATACTCGGAAATTACAATATACCACCACGATCAGTAAAAAATATTTTTTTTTCTGCCGACACCTACTACGACGTGGGACTTTGTTTTATGCCTAGTTGAAAAAAAAAATAATTATGATTTTTGAAAGCTTTATTATGCAGTTGAATACAAATATTTATAATAAAAATCAAAAGAAATATATAAAGAATTATAATGGCGTTTTTCCTTATATATCACATCTCTAGATCAGGACATCTTTATAAAGAAATGTAACGATAAAATAATCGGGAATAAGAAACTTATTCGAGTGTGAATATACAAACCAACGTCCATTGCTTATATGTTAAAATATTATTTGATTCCTTTGAAATACACGATGAAAATCTTTCCATCGCTTATTTTACAAAACATTAGAAGCTTTTTTTTTTTTTCCTTTTTTCATTTTTATTTTAAGTTCCTTTTGAATACGATTAATTTTTATTAAGAGTATGACATCAATAAATATAAAATCTATTGCAGGTAAAGGTAAACTTTGGTTTCAATATTTCTTCTAATTATCAATCTCCTGATGTTTTGTATCTTCAGGGCCGTTACTGTATTCCTCATTTTCTTGCACGTCATAATTAACTTGCGCTCTATCCGTACTTTCAACGGAATCCTTTATCAACTCTGTGTAGGGATTGACATTCATATTACTTTCATCGTTTGAAGACTTCATTACTTCAAAATAGTTACTCTCCGGATTTATAGGATCCAAGTAAGATGCTACACTCATTCGCTCTTTGTCAATTTTAGTTTCGTTTTCTTTCCTTGTAGTCGTACTTTCAACGGAATCATTTATCAACTCATAACTTTCTTCATTTGAGGAATGCATTACTTCTAGATATGTATCATCTAGTTTTTTAGGATCCAAGTAAGAAGCTACACTCATTCGCTCTTTGTCAATTGTAGTTTCGTTTTCTTCCCTTGTAGTCGTACTTTCAACGGGATCATTTATCAACTCATAACTTTCTTCATTTGAGGAATGCATTACTTCTAGATATGTATCATCTAGGTTTTTAGGATCCAAGTCAGAAGCTACACTCATTCGCTCCTTGCAATTGTCAGTTGTAGTTTCATTTTCTTCCCTTAGTTCAGGCAAATGTTCATAATTGTCGTCTTGTTCTTCAACAAAATCATAACCGGGATCATTGTACGGATCATTTGAGAAGGTCAGTTTGGTTTCATATGGACTAGGTTCTGTTCTCGGAACAGCAGGAAGGCGCAGGAGTTCACTTCGTCTTTTTTTCAAGAGCATTTTTCTGTAACAAGATATCATTAAAAATTGCTATAAAATCAAGACTTGACTAATTATAAAAGATCACGATATGTAATACCCTTGACTGTTTCAAGACATCATTTTTTAAGTCATAGTAAACCCAACATAAGAAGCAAAGAATGTAAAGTTGACGAAGTATTTCTATGCTTGTCTACACTAAACAAATCTTGTAAGGGTTCACTTTGATAAATGTATTTATTTAAAAACTACTTAATTTAAAAACTAAATTATTACAACAAATAAGTCTTCTCAACAATTGTAGAAAGAAAATCAAATATCGCCAATGAAAAACAATGTTCGGTGACGAAGCTTAAAAACAATAAATACTTATTTTAGGGGACGTGCTTTGTGTAATTAGCATCTTTTTGTGATCACTATCAAAATTTTTAAAACTAGTTTTATTAAAAAAAAATACAAAACATTGGAAAAATTACCATTGAAAAAGAAGGGAGAACCGTTGGAATGTTAAATTTTGGACCATCCTTGCATCACGTTTTATTCACTTTTATTTTAGTGTTAAATTATCCTTGATATTACGTTAAAAATATACAACCAGTATCAAGACCCATTTAAATACATTTTTCTATAGGCTGTGCGTCATTTTCATCGCCAAATTTATTACAATTTGAAAGCTTTGGACAAAATTTAACCAAACCGGAAGTGACCTTGATCTTTGTCTAAGGCCCTAATTTTGCGTCACACCAGGTTAAAAGAATGTTCAATCGTCCTGAAACAATCTTAGAAACATGAAAACAAACAATTTTAATTGTATGAAAATTTAAAGAAATCGGTGCTCGTGACAATCTAATATCAGCTCAAGCAGTCTGAATCATCCTTAAAGCGATGCACTTACATGCTCAACGCCCGGAGATATTGACCAAAAGGTCTCTGTGTGATGATGCACCGTCAAATTCTCGGATCTGTATCTCAATGAACACAATTGGGATTTTATAAGGAATGTCAACCCCCTCTTTTCCACACCATTTCAACGTTTTGGAAAGATCTATGCATAGGGTGTGGCAGCAGATGGGTCAATCTACTGTTCAGGAATACATGGTATCAAACAGAAAAGGATGTCCTACAGTAATTAGAGCGAGTTATGATCTTACTCCATAGAGATAATTTCGTGTGAATTTTCATTTACGCAACATCGAACTCAAATATGCATCATTAACCATGAATAAAAGAAATTATTTATTAATTGAATTTGTTACGAAAGCCTACAAGGGTCAAATTAAAAAATGAAGAAAAAAAAAATAAGTCGTAATAACGACTTTTTATCTCGTAATAACGACTTTCTTAAGTCGTAATAACGACTTATTATCTCGTTATTACGACTTAATAAAGTCGTAATAACCATAGGCACTTGGGGTATGGACCCCCCCCCCCTTTTCCATTTTTTCTCTTTTTAAATCTGGGTTCGAGTCACCTTTTTCCTATTTTTCTATTCTAATATGCACTATATGTTATCTAAAATGTAACTCTTTTGCTACTACAAGCTGTTTTTAAATATGTCGTTTTCGACTGATACATATAAAGAGAGAAGGCTTGCAACTCTTTTCTCGTCATCCGCCTCACCTCGCTTAAACTTCGCTCGATTATTTATCTAAACCTGAATATAAATGGGATATACATATATTAATAAGTTTGTTGTACATTCCTCTTCCTTTTCATATTTCCATTTAATTTTTATGTGCCCCCGATTTGTAAATATTTCGATGAAATCAACCGCATCTAGGGTAAATTGTTTTGATGTGCATTGACTGGACGGAAGTACCCGGTATTTTTGGGCGTCATCATTAAGTGTGATGTCATTTGGAACACTAAATTCGAGAGGGAATAAATCCCGAATTTTCTCTTCATATTACATGTAAAGGTAAGTTTACCATGTAACAAGATAACTGTAACTAGTAGATTCTGATAAATGTCGATTAAAATTTAACATACTACATAAACATCCAAATTTCACAATATTGTTATTACAACGCCTTGATTTTTTTGTAAATGCAGAACAGCTGTAAAGTTAGAGTTATCGTTCTTTTCTACTTCCGTCCCAGTCAGTGCGCATCAAAAAAATTTACCCTAGATGCGGGTGATTTCATCGAAATATTTACAAATCGGGGGCACATAAAAATTAAATGGAAATATGAAAAGGAAGAGGAATGTATAACAAATTTATTAATGTATGCATATCCTATGCTATATTCAGGTTTAGACAAATAATCGAGCGAAGTTTAAGCGAGGTGAGGCGGATGACGAGAAAAGAGTCGCAAGCCTTCTCTCTTTATATGTATCAGTCGAAAACGACATATTTAAAAACAGCTTGTGGAAACAAGAATTACATTTTTGATAACATATAGTGCATATTAGAAGAGAAACATAGGAAAAAGTTGACTCGAACCCAGATTTAAAACGAAAAAAAATGGAAAAAAAAGGGGGGTTCATACCCCAAGTGCCTATGGTAATAACGACTTTTTATCTCGTTATTACGACTTTTTGTCTCGTTATAACGACTTTATAAAGTCGTAATAACGACTTTGTATCTCGTTATTACGACTTTCTTAAGTCGTAATAACGACTTTTTATTTCGTAATAACGACTTTCTTAAGTCGTAATAACAACTTTTTATCTCGTAATAACGACTTTTTTTCTCGTAATAACGACTTTTTATCTCGTAATAACGACTTTATTACCCTTTTTATCTCGTAATAACGACTTTTTATCTCGTTATTACGACTTTTTTTTCTCGTAATAACGACTTTCTTAAGTCGTAATAACGACTTTTTATCTCGTAATAACGACTTTTTTCTCGTAATAACGACTTTCTTAAGTCGTAATAACAACTTTTATCTCGTTATTACGACTTTTTTTAGTAAGATTATTTTCAATAGTTTGCTATTTTTGACCTTTCCGTATTACGGAAACTTATGACCGCGCCTCGTGAAGTTGATTTATACATCAAACTGACAAAAGAAAATGAGTATTATCTGCTTATCAGGCACGTTGCAGGGTGGGGGTGGAGGCTTCCCCATTATTTTCTCAAACATAACTTTCCTGCTGATAAAAAAGTTCATTGCCGTCCCCCCCCCCCCAACACTTTTTGTTGCAATATAGCCAAATAAGGGTGATGAGGTAGTAATTTAAATCTGGTACGGAAAGAAGTTGCCAATATATGGTAATTTGGTTATATATAGCATAGACTTTCACGTTGATATTTTGAAAGTTTTTGTCTGTGAACGAGGAATGTAAAAGTACATTTGAACAACAATTTAAACCCCCTTTTTGCAAAGAAATACATAATGTAGTCTACATAGGCATTGATAATTGGGGCTTACTGAGTAGCCCCCAAACATTTTTTGTTGGTTTAGCCCCCCGCCCTTTCAGTTTGCTTTCGACACGCGCTTATGTATCATATAATATTTTGAAATGATTTCTGCGATGTGCAACACTAATGTCTTCAATTTTGCGGCATAATGATTTAGATTATAAGTGTGTAAACAAAACAAGTCCAAATATTGTCAATAATTACATATTATAATAAATATAAATAAATGAATTGTCAAAGTCTGGTGCAACTGTTTTGACAATTTTATAACTAAACAATCATCGCGTTTTCAGCTACACGACACCGTTATAAGGGCACGTTTCCGTTTTATCTCCTAGCAGGATCAAGTTAAAAAAATGTTCCAAAAGGAAAAAAAAATAAATAAAAAGTCGTTATTACGACTTAAGAAAGTCGTAATAACGAGAAAAAAAAGTCGTAATTGCGACTTAAGAAAATCGTAATAACGAGATAAAAAGTCGTTATTACGACTTCAAAAAGTCGTAATAACGAGATAAAAAGTCGTTATTACGAGATAAAAAGTCGTTATTACGACTTAAGAAAGTCGTAATAACGAGAAAAAAAAGTCGTAATAACGAGATAAAAAGTCGTTATTACGACTTGAGAAAGTCGTTATTACGAGATAAAAAGTCGTAATAACGAGATAAAAAGTCGTTATTACGAGATAAAAAATCGTTATTACGACTTAAGAAAGTCGTTATTACGAGATAAAAAGTCGTTATTACGAGATAAAAAGTCGTTATTATGACTTAAGAAAGTCGTAATAACGAGATAAAAAGTCGTAATAACGAGTTAAAAAGTCGTAATTACGAGTTAAAAAGTCGTTATTACGAGTTAAAAAGTCGTTATTACGAGTTAAAAAGTCGTTATTACGAGAAAAAAAGTCGTTATTATGACTTAAGAAAGTCGTAATAACGAGATAAAAAGTCGTAATAACGAGATAAAAAGTCGTTATTACGAGTTAAAAAGTCGTTATTACGAGATAAAAAGTCGTTATTACGACTTAATTTTTTTTCTTCATTTTCTAATTGACCCTTGTAGACTTTCGTAATTTGTTCTTAAATACTTAAAAAATATAAGGTAAACAATTGGAAGTTTGGTTCAGTGTAAAGTCCCCCTTTCGGCGTTTGCACTGAATACTCTGGGCGTCTCTGAAACGTCAGACTCAGCTCAAACGGACCACAAATAAAATCTGAGTAAATAAGGAAGGCGGAACCTAGGTTCTGCGTATCGCTATGGTGTGCCTGGTTGTTACTCTACAATGTATTCTTTTCACTTTCTTATTAAGGTTTTATTTTTCCTGTTTGCTCTTCTTTCCAAAGCCATCAAGGTAGCCTCATTATGTAACTGTTGAAAAGGCTATTGTGTGTCATATATTTGATTACCAGTATTTATATTTGTCATATTTTATTTGTTAATCATTTTTTATCAAATACTACCTGGATTTTATTAAAATCATTTTCTTAAAAAATAACTCTTACATACATATAAACTAAACGATAGTTCAGTGGGGAATTGAAGACTGTTTTTGGTCTTGTTAAAAATGCATTTGTTTCACTCTTATTGTTTTATTCTTAATTTGTGACAGGATCACAAAATAGCACATATATTTGTATAGAAGTGAATCAAATACATAACGTATGGGATTTGGTATCCATCAAAAGATCACCAAAAACAATACTTAATCATTACTAAGAGTAGATTTAAAGATTTACATGTTAGTTTCCAGTTTATGGCTACATGTATTATATTCAGTAAGTTTTGAATACTTATAGGAATTGTGTTTGAAGAATTTTTTCTATAATCATTATTGAAAAAAACACCAAACTTCAAAATCTTCAGAGAGAAAAAAAAAAACAAAAATTGTGTTTATTAATCGAAGAGCCTGGTACATTTGTACGTACCTCGTTATTATCACGCTAAAAACAAGGATGCCAGCGAAAAGAACAACAATTGTAGATCCGATTAAAACTGAAAAAAGATACGTAATTAATAGTAATAGATTAACCTCAGTATCTATGTATAAAAAAAGCATACCTTTTCAATGTCAGATATATTTCCACATAAAGTAACATTCATTTATTCTTAACTTACTAATCAACTGTGTCTGATCTAATTTCTCTGTCACATCCTGTTGGACTACGCTTGGTAAATCTGGAGAATCTATTTTCAGGAAAGGAAAGTATAATGATTATTATTATAGGTGATGACTAACAATAATCATGCTCAACAATCCAATCATACAATTCAAATTGTGAACACAGTAAATATGAACCTCTGAAATCAGGGATGGGATTATGCATGACTCTAAAAGGCATGAGAAACATCTAATACTATATTACTAAGTACATGTACCAAGATATGATGCCATTCAATTAAGAAATAACTGTCTAATTTTTTTATTTTCATGATGTGATCAATGGAGTGGCTTGTGTGATAATTTACATAAACACCGAGCCAGTCTATTGATAATCGTCATGAAATAAAAAAAAAAAATTAGGGATAGGATTATTCTGAGTCTTGGCTCTAAAAGGCAGGAGAAACATGTAATACTATATTACTAACTGACTAAGTGCATGTATCAAGATATGATGTCAATTAAAGAATAACTTTATATTTTTTTTAATTTCATGGTGTGATCAGTCTAGTGGCTTGTGTGATAATTTGCATAAACTTTGAGCCAAACGATTGATCATCGTCATGAAATTAAAAAAAAAAAACTGACAGTTATTCCTTATATAACTTCACTGGCCCTTGATTCCACAGATTCACTAGCTACAAACCCTGACTCTGTCTCTTTATCCATGGCCTGTACTTGATTTTGTTTTTATCGCACATATCGACGAATCAGTAGATTTATGTAAAAATAAAAGTTTTCATTTTTACAATACGTTGAATTTCCATTAGTGAACTCTTCAGAATTAGAGGCGCGTTTGGTCGTATGACTGGGACAGCATGGCGTTGCGGATAATACAAAACCTGCAAGTCTCAATCCAATTTTAGATGTTTAGTGCATTTGTCATTCTAAAAGACATATGAAAGAAGCGAAAACCCTAATTTTATCGCCCATTAATAAAAAAAATACGACATATTTCCGAGGTATGTGTATTGTTTTTCAATGTACCATTACGATATATAGATACTTACGATCACCAATACATGTAAATAAATTTCCTTGTAATCTCTACTCTTGATTTAAATGAAGTCCACAACAATAAAATACTTCATATGCATTTTGTTAGTACGAGGGCCGTTCAAAAATTACGCGGACTGTGCTATTATTTACTCTTACGGACGTCATATAGTTATGAAATTTAACAGAAATATGTATCTTAAAGATTCCAATAAATTTTGGGCAAAATATCCTTATTTTAAAAAAATTCTGCTAAAATTGTCGGTATGTTGATGTCGCTGATGGAGAGGTACGGAGCATGACAAAAAATTTGAAGCAAAAGCATGCGGAATCCAAAATTCCAAAACTCATATATTTTCTATAATTCGCGATATTTTTCGACAATTTTCTCAAATATATCTTTAAATTGTTCTGTTATCATGTATTTAGATTTCTGGCGTGATATTTGAAGTACTAACAGAAATATAGTGGTTTTTCTCTGATGCGATTACCGTGAAAAAGACTGTGAAAATGACGTCATCTGAATTGACGGCGCACCACATTTTGTTAAATTACATGTAATGCTCGAGATATCACCAACATATATCCAAAATATGCATAATAAAACATGTAGTAAACTAGGGTTTATGTGACATTCATCACAAATAGCAAATTGAAATTTTAGACCGTGAGACATTTGTAAAGAGGCTATACAGGAGGACGGGAAGAAGATTATCGACGAAAACTTTATCCGGACTGTAAAGAACGTGATTGAGAGTCACCAATATCACACTATATCTGATAAATACCTGCAGTTTTTGGCTTTAAAACAAAAAAAGAATATTCTTTACTTGTTTAATAGATTTTAAGCTTAACAGGAAATGTTGTTTGGATGTTGAGTAGATAAGGTAACTCAAACTGTACAGGTACTCTTGGGAAAATGTTGAGAAAATGAAAACTCAATCACATATTTTTTTTAATGCCTGTGACGTCGAGGATTTTGCTGCTCCGTGACTTAATGATATGTCCTGATAAATCACTCAAAATTAATACCAATGTACAACATTTTGATATGAAATTTTGAAGAGCATATAAGTAAAGATTCTTTTATTTTATGTGTGACATTTTGCCCGATTATGTCGTCAAATATTTTTTATGTGCAACAAGTCCGCGTAATTTTTGAACGGCCCTCGTATTTGTTCATCGAAATTCAACACGTTGTTTACATGTTTATGTTACGTTTGTCCCAGAAATCCCGCGATATTTGTACATTCTCCGACTTTTTCACAAAAGAGCGCACGAAGAACTATAACTCTTCAATAGTGGAAAAAGAACGTATTTGTAATTTGTAATTTCTCGGACAAAGACATTGGAAATATAAATATAAGGGAATATGACGGTCTAGTCACCGAAAACCTGATCTGTATTGAACTGGAGGATGTCATAAAGTTCATGTGGTTTATCACTCCACACGTGTAAAGTTTTTTATTCCTACTGTAAAAGTCACGGATCTCTACTTTCGTTTGAGCTGCCTATAAGCATTACTGATAATGAAATTCAAATATTACTTTGTTTAATTTCTCCGGTTTTCAATTAAGTTTATTTAATACAATATTTGAAAATCCTGACATTGATCCCGTCTGAACAGGACTGTGTATGGTTAGAATTAGAATTCTGATGTCATTATTCATCTGGTGCTGTAAAAGGCTGTCAAGACTCATTAACTAGATCTCAATCATTGTTTAACCCGAAGAGATTTGTCTCACAATAGTATTGTCATTCCAAAATCTATAACGTACAAAAATACCTTTTTTCGACACTGGAAACTCTGATATTTTTGATATACCTAAAAAAAAAAACAACCATGAATATTTAAACAGTAGTTTAGATCATTTTTGAAATTACAAAATTACAGTTTTGAAAACCATTTTGGCATTTAATAGATGTAATATAGATAATATTCCATGGATGGTTAATGTGGAAATAAAACATTTTTTTAGGAGACTGAGTTGTTGGTTTAATAAAATGTGTTTCAAACAAAACTTATGTTGTATGAGACAAATACTTTGATGTTTGAAAGAATGTGAAACTGAACCGACTTTTCCCAAAACAATAAATTATTCTATATTCTTGAAAAACGTAAAGGTAAACTAATACACGCTGATTCTCCTGTGAGATATAAAGATAAGTAGCAATCCTTTAAGCTGATCTTTGAATGTGTAAATATCCTCATCACTATTGTAAATAAAGGACTCTGTGCGGGATATTGTATATTTTTGCTCCAGCAAAAGTCAAATTTTGAAAATGACTTGAAATATACTGATTGTACATGTATAGATAGAATCAACAACCTAAATTAATAAAACATATTTAAATTTCAAAGTGGATTATTGACAATCTTTGTCTTATAACGCCACAAACTATTCGGATTTCGGATTATATATCAGGAAGAAGAAAAAAATCAACACATCTAATTGATATTTTTCTTCTCATTATATTATAATATTAAACTATAGCTGACCTACGCTCAGTGATTTTTTTTTTCAAATTATCGGCATAATATACATCTTTTCTGTAGAAGTCATGAGAAATTTAAATTTACACCACATCCTCGACGTCATATCAAACATATGACGTCATGACTTATGAAATTATACACTATACGGCGCTTTTTAGTCAGCAGACATCCCTATGTTTTAAAACACAAAGATATATATTTCCCCGTCAAAGCTTGATTTTTGGTTTTTTTTTCGGGGGGGGGGGGGGGGGGGGCAAGGCAAATATTGGCCATTAATGCATTTGGCATTGAGTATGCAAGAAAGCATTAAAATGTAAAGATGCAAATAAAATATTCTTACAAAGACTAACATTGGCGGCATCTTGTGGTAAAATAGCTGCAAATTGCCTTGCCGATGATACTTTATCATTTGTCAGACAAGTGGAATTCGTTTCATCATTTATTTTTGAAACCACACAATTTGCTACACGTTGAAAATTACTGAAAATAGAAAAAAAAATACGATTTATTTTCATCTTGATTTAATTGTTGCAAGCTAAAAATTTAACGATTTTATGAATTTAGAGCTGATTTCAATAGACATAACGGATTACGCTCTTTGAGACGTGCTAACACTCTGCTTGTCGAAAAGTTTAAATACTACGTAACGGTATATTATACATGTATTTGCTAACAAGATCATTGTATCAACTAAAAATTTTAAAGATGTTGACCAATTTTATTGTCATCTTTTTTTATCAAATGTCAAGTCTGTCGACTGGAATATTCCATGTATGTGTTGCCATTGATTGTTTGTATGCCTTTCAAGGAAGGTTGCTTGTAGTGTATTCCAAAATGTTTTGAACGGTTTCAGTGATATTTTTATGACTTCGAAAGTATAAAATTTAACTTGAAGTTGATTTCAAACAGTTATATCTCGTAATTGTGGAAGTGATTTGAAAGGCGCTATCGCTTTTTCCGTACGTTGTTTACCCTTCTTATCTCGATTTATCTGATATCTCGAAGATATTCCTCGATTTCATTGAATACTAGATAATGAAATCTGACTGGATGAATACATGTATAAAGTTTTAGGCAAAACATCACCTCTTCTGAATAATTGGTGATGAAATAAAAATGAGATAAGAAATACAAGATGTATTATTTCTTCATATTTTATTCTATTCCGGTCTTTTACGCGAAAGAAATACTGCAATAATTTTAGTATCAAAATACAAAGTATTAGTTGTATACAAAGTTCCAAAGTTATAGTTTCAGTTTTGAATGTATTTCAGATTATCAATTTATATTTACATCCATTCAATATTTTCTCCTTTATTTCTTAAGAAAACACATTGTGTTAATCACTGCATGAACTACATTAAGCATAACGCCTGTACATTCTTGATCAGTGGCTGTTCCATTCAAGAAACGTATAAAGACGTTCGCATCATTAATACAATAATTAATCTTTTTAATCCTACTTTTAATGATTATTTAAATAGATAAAATATAAACAATAAAATGTCTTTCTGTGTTTGTTATTACTGAAATTAACGGTCGCAGCTATTGCAGAAAAAATTCACATGTTAATTCCAGTAATAACAAACAAAGAAAGCATTTTCGTTCTTCACATTAATAAAGCAGACATCATTAGACGACAAATGTTCAAATATTTTACCTGCACAATGTTTCTGAGGTTGAACTCTCAAGAGGATATTGTAGATTGCAAGGGTTTGCGTACTTGTGTAGTCCTACAATAGTTGCTAAACTTGAATCTGTGCACGGAGCTTTAATACCTGTAAGTGTAAAAAAGAATTTGAATAATGTTCCTTTAATCCGTTATGTTGTTGCAAAAACATGCTGTGGGAATGATTTTTAGCTATGTTAATGAAGGCTTCTCCAAGCTTTAAAATGCCTTCATTGCAATTTTTTGCATAACAAGTCGGTTTGATTTTTTCTTCGTAAGTTATGTGCTTACGTACAACAAAATAAACATGGAGGGTTCTGTTAGTAACATGTTGATATATTATCAATATATTGATGTATATGATACAGAGTTTATTTTTCTCAGTTGATTCGATGCGCAAGAACATGCTCTACGCATGTACTATTTTTATGAAATGAGGTAAATTATTTACATACCTGTTGATGATACAAGAATATAATCTTTATATACTCAATATTCTAGCTGATGACTAATCACAGTAAAAGAAATTCAGTTTAACCAATTCAACAGTCTGGTTCATAGTCATTGATTTATAAGTCCTTTGGTCGATATAATGACCTTGTTAGCAAAAAATAATTTATCATTGAGATAAATGCTGGCTGAAGTTTTTCATGCTAATTGTACCTACATCAATCATTTTTTTTAATATCTCAAAGGCTTAATTATAATTTAACAGAAATACTTATGGAGTGAAGACAAGACAATGTTTTCCAGACTTAAATGTCATTTTCAAGGATCAATATCAAGGGTACTTTCAACATAATTATACGTCTTTTGAAATAATCAACAAATTCAATAAGTCAATATCAGTGAATTTCAATAAAACAATTATTGTCATGCATTGCATATCATTTATATGACACTCGAATGGCACAATGGAAAGTAGTTTTGTGACCTGTAAACATCATTGTGCAGTATGGTAAGAACATTATCTGTAAAGATGTATTGTCGTTGGAAAACAGCCAAGGGAAATCACGTTACTTCTTTCTGAATGTTTAAATCGCACATGTATTAATGAATTTTTGCATATTTTTGGTCTTGTATTGTTTCGTATAATGTGAGTTTGTTTATGCAGTAACAAAAGTGCTACTTACATGGGGAGATTGACCTTCCCATTAACCTTTCTAACAAGTCCTGTTGTTGCAAAGCAATGGATTTAATCTCAATCCCAGAACATTGAACATTCGTAGAATTTTCAATTCTGTTCTTCAAACATCCAACAATTCCCCACAAGCGTCTGAAAATATATTTTTTTTACAAAAATGTATATTTGGAATATCAATAGTTCTTTATAATTAATAAAAATTAAATAAATGTGTAGATTTAACGAATCCCCTTCTAAAAATTTATATCGTGTTTTTATACGTGGGAATTTTTTTTTAAATTTTAATTCTGCATCTTAGGAGCATCTTACATGTTAAGTTACTGACAATAAACCTAAAGGGACTAAGCTACAAATACATTTATTTGATGACTGTTTAAATGGACAATAAATTATCGATACTTTCATAAAGTAAAGCATGTACATGATTTATGATTTTAACTTTTCTATCGTCAACTTCCATAACTTATGCAGCAATATACATTCGTCACCTGCATACAGAGTTTATAACTCTCAGCAAGAGCATGATATACGTTTGAACAATTTCTAACACGAGTTAAATTATTGACAAAAAAGTTTATGAAACAGGAATATCAGCAGTCTTGTTAAAAATCTTTATTTCGTAAGTTCTATGGTCGATATAATGACCTTGTCAGCAGATACAGTTTATCATTAAATCAAATGGAAACTGATGTTTTTCATACTAACTAGTAGTCAATGATCTTTACACTGAATTGAAGATGGATTTTCCTGTTATTTCCCGATCATGACCGGGAGCACACTGTGGGTGTGGCCGGCTGGTGGGGGATGCTCACTCCTCCTCCTCCAGGGCACCTCACCCCCCCTCTGATTTTTGGAGGTCAGTGTTTGCTTTGCTCCTATTTATGTATTGCTTTATGGACCTTGGCATTGAGTATTGTTCGTTATCTCCATATCCTTTATGTATGCATAATTTTCATAATATTATAATTAAAACTCTTTCTTTCTTTCTCAGTCTTTTTATACGGAAAAAGCTCAAACTTACCTGCAAAATTCAGTACCGGTTGGTTCAGCAGCAACACACTGAGATGCTAATTTTTGAGTATCAAACGATGTGTTTAGACATGGTGAAGCTTAAATACAGAAAAAATACAATACTACTGTAACATAAAGATAATGAGGCAGATATGTATACAAAATAAATGACAAGCAAAATATTTATATTAATACCCTTAAATATAGTTCACAAGTACTTACAACAAATGTCCACACCACAAAGTTCCCAACGAACGCTAGAATTAGTAGTGAAACACCACGGTTCTTCTCTGTCAAAGTTTCTACAGTAGTTCTCTTGTGCAAGACTAAATATGAAATAATTCTGTTCATGTGGGCTCTGCACATCCCATCTTTGACACAGCAGCCCTGACTTTGTAACACGTTGTTTTCCTCTGTATAAGATCCCCGGTAATCTACAGTCTTCCGGTGTGGATTTCCCTTAATAATTCAAAATCTAGGATCCAGTATATCTTTAACGTA